TGGAGAAGAGTTCTAATAAGAATATTGTGATTAAATTAAAACAATTAAAAGCAGTTCCCCAGCCTCACCCAGCTTTATAATGATCTGTGCACACTAAAAGCCAATGCCACCTCACCATATCCTCTCCCAACTCAGGACATGGGAATGCATACCCCACCCCTGCCCCAATCCTCTCCCCAGAGACCAATAGACCTTCTGTCCCAGCACGATCTTTATCCCACTAATTCAGGTGCATTAGAACTAAATAGGAGCATCGCCACTCTGTGTCCAAACTGATATGTAAGACAGGGGGCTTCCTCTACAGGAAGAATTTTAATAATAACAGTACTCTCTAGCTTCCCATTTCGAGATGTGGTAGTTTACTCCCACAAGGGCTCCCCCCACCTACTCCCACTCTAACATGACGCCATCTGCTATTAAGCTCTCACTAGAGGACAGTCCTGATTTTGAAACTTGAACTTCCAAAATTGTGAGCTAAATAAACATTTTTCTTTATTACAAAAAAGAGTAATAATAATTTTTGGTCTCAAAATTGACACATACACTGTAAGGTTGCTTATATGTTATAGACCTGAAAAATCGTAGATCTAGATGTGGCAGAATAGATATGTTTTACGGAATTGCCAGAGTTCAAAAATATATTGCCACCACCCTATTCCTCAACATCAAAAAAAAAAAAAAAAGATTATAAACCCTACCTGTCTTCTGTAGTAGTATTATTAAAAAATAGCTACAAAGCAAGACATTCTCATTTTAGGATTTAGTTGGCACTCACAAATACTTGATGGGATGCTTTAAGGAGTTTGCACATTAAATAATCTAAAGATTCCTTCAATCTGACACTTTTTGGTTCTAATATAAATGAGCTTTTCTGAGTTGACTTAGCCTTAGAACCATATGCAAGCACTATTTCTATGCAGAAAAGTTTTAAGTATCTCAAGCAACCAATTTAAAAATCAACTTAATCTATTTGAAATTAAGGTTTTCATATTATCTCACAAAATATTGTCTGCTGTCTTTTTGTGCATCTTTATCACTGCAACAAATGTATTATCACGTCAAAAATACTACTTGGAGGAAAAAACCCATTATCATCGGAACGATAAGAAAATATTACTTTTTCTTTATGCTAATAGAATTCTTTTATTCATCTTGGCATCTTAAACATTCTGGTTAAAATAGGTCAAAGGTGTTCTCCTTTGGATTCCTCTCCTGATTACCTACCTTCCTTTATTACTATAATTAAATAAGCCCTTCTTATGGAACTCCTAGGTGCTCAACTCTGAGGGCTAAAGAAAATATGGTGTTTCAGGAAGCAGAGTTAGCAGAGTGACAGACTCTCAGAGGCCTCCATTATCCCTGTGTCTTATTGTTCGTGCCCTTGAGTCATCCTCTCTTCCTTGAGTTTGCTTCTAATCAGTAGAATATGGCAAAGAGGGACGGATATCACTTCTGTGATTACACTACGTAGGACTGTAACTCCCATTTTTCTAGCAGACTCTCTACTGATGCTCTCACTGTTGGCTCTGATGGGGCAAACTGCCCATCCAGGTGGCCTACACCTGAAGGGGGACCTCCAGTGGCAGCCAGCAAGTCCAGCAATCCTCAAGGAACTGTATGCTGCCAGCAACCACTTGTACCTGGAAGGGAAGCCTTCTCCCCCTGAGCCTCAGGTGACACTCTGACCCTGACTGACCCCAAATGAACCACTGACTACAGCCCTGAGTAAGCTATGGAAGGTTGAAGACCAAGGCAAGCCATATCTGGATTCTGAAGCTGAGATGAGAAACGCTTCTTGTTTAAAGCCACTAAGTTTATGGTAATATGGTTACCTAGCAACCAATAATTAATACAGACAGATGAGAAACACAGAATAATTAGATAGCAAATTGAAGGCAATAGAATAACCAGTATGAGATAGGAAAGTTCAGGTAATCAAAGTAAAGAATACTCACTATGGTATAAGGTTAGTTTTGAAACATTTCATAATAAGGAGAGTTGTGAGTCCCATTGTGTTTCAAAGACCCAGATTGGCAGACAGGCAGAAGGAATACCACAGAGGTAGAATTAACTGAAGGTCATGGGCAATAATAACACACACTGAGGAACAGTGAGAGAGGGCTGGAGAGGTGAAATGGGTCCAGATCGCAGAAGGCCTGAAATGGTGGGGGCTGAGCAGGCTCATCTTTGATACTACAGACAGCAAATAGAAGGCAAAGGCTTTTGAACAAGGAAATGACAAAATAAAAGCTCTGTTTTAAAGAACTTAATCCTATCACAGCATAAAGGATGGAGCAGATTACAGATAAGAAGACCAAGAATAGATATGCTTGCACAACCGTTTTCATGAGAGGCTAACAAACACATGGTGGGGGTGGGGGGTTCACACTCATTAATAATCAAACACATGCAAATTAAAACTATAAAGCACCATTCTTTGGTCTACCAAAACAGTAAAGAATAAAAACTAATAATACCAGTAAAAATAAAGTAATCTCAGACACTGTTGGTGGGAATGTAAATGGAACCGTTTTTTATGGAAATCCATTCTGCAATATGCATTAATAATCTCAAAATATTCAGATCCTCAAACTCAGTTATTCACTTCTTAGAACACTGCTGAAGTAGATTTATTTTCTCATTCAGCAAGCATTTAACTGGGTGCCTACTACATTCAGGCTTTGAGATGTGCCCTGGGGATACAGTAGTGAATAAGAGATGCTTCTCTCTTGGCACTTAAGAGAGACTTACGTACATCCAACCCTCCATGGAACAATCAATGTATAACTGCACATATTATAGGACACAATGCTTAAATTCTGAGATCAAAGAAGACCTCTTTGAAAGTGACATTTTGCTGAAAGCTGAAGATCAGTAGAATTTAGCTACAGGAAAAAACAGAAGAATTTTTTTTTCTTAACAAAGGAAGCAAAACTTATGAAATAGAGAATTAGCCTTACCCAAGACTTTAGAGGACTCATCTGTTGATTTATTCAACAAATATGTATGGAGGTTCAAGTAGGCATTAGGTAATACAACAGAGGCTGAGGAGATCAAGGATGAGAGAAAGTGACCAAGCAGAGAAACAGGTATAAAAACACTCTAGAGCTACAGATGGGTGTGGAATTCATAAAAGACGTATAAGGAAATGAGTGGTAAAAGAAGGAAATCAATGCATTTGACAGGAGAAAGTGGAAGATGAAATAAAGATAATAAAAATGAAGGCTACTACCTTTCTTTCACTTTCCAAATCCAAATACTGTAGATTTATCCACAAAAGGAATGTTCAAAAATTTACCATTCATTGACAATAATTGCCATTTATAGACAGAAATACTTAAGTGGGATAGCACTACAAAGCTTATAATGCAGAAAAGGTAATCAGAGATGGAAAATAAATTTTAAACATGTATATATGAGCTAAAGAATAGCTACAGTTGAGAAATTATACTCCTTAAAGTTATACATGAATGGCTCTCAATGAAGATAAGCATTCAGGGAAGAGTAGCCACTTTCTCAGAATAATATGCAGTTCCTCTTTACAAGAGGCCAAAGTGTACATAGAATAACCCAAGGATTTGAAATCTCTTCCATGGTCTGAGGAACCACAATAAGGTTAAATGTGAAGAGTGGCATTTACACAAACCTTACCATAAGGATATGCTCACAGTCATTAGCAAGTTACCAAGAGAGCCATAAAAATGATTACAACCCTTGTGAGCAGTGCACCCAATAGAGGAGAACCTTTTGCTTCTCATCTCCTCAATTACCTAATTTTATATTTGGGACATGTCAACAGCATTAAAGAATTAAGCAATATTTTACCGCATACATGCTACATAAAAAAAAATAATAAAAAAATGAAACTCTACTGCTTTTGCAATGTCTATTGAGTCTAAAATTATTTCAAGATAAAAAGTAAACAAAAGAGATATGGATAATTTTGCTAGAAGAAATAACACAAGATCTAAAATTTGTGTTAAATTCAAGGAGCAATCATAAAGAAGAAAAAATTAAGCAATCTTCCAAATTACTTCAAGTCTAATTTTTGCTTCTCGTATGTGATGCAGGTGCCTATTAAGAGAGAAGCTCATAGTCTGCTCTGGATATTCTACTGCCCACCAGCCACATGGCCTCAGAAAAGGCACTTCAGTCTCCCTAAGCCTCTGTTAGATCTACCTCACAGGGGGGGCATATGCTTGTCCACTCTGGCATGCTATACAAATATTCATTATTATTACTGAAATTTTGTTTACTTGAGCTGCATTCTCTCTCCTTCATTTAAGGGAAGAGTATCTCTGAGAAATAGTTATTTGAATTTCTTCAAGTCTGCAAAATTATCAAATTAATCTTATACAGAGAGATCAAATTTTAACCATAGATTTATATAACAATAAATAGGTATTACAAATTATCTTACTAGAAAGAACTGATGTAGCTTTAAAAATGTTTTTATCTGTTTAGCCTTTTCCTATAAAGTGTATTAGACGGATTAGCCTGGTTACCTTATAATTAGTTTTGTTAATTCTGAAGATATGGTTTGATACTGGAAAAAAATTCTAATAAATTTTGATGGGGTATAAATACACAGTTTGAACAATTACATTGGCATCATACATAAAATATATTAGATGAAATATATTTTCCCCGGACATTAAATATTAAATAGTAGTGCTTTCGAAGGAAAAAAGCAATTAAATGAGCAATCTCATGAAACCCAAAAGATGAATATTGAGGACCCAAAACAAATTTCACAGTTTGACAAGGAAAATGTATCTTTTATAAAATTGGAAAGTGATGTGTACCTATAAATGATGCATCACAAAATGTTACTTTATAACTTTAATTTTTCAATATCTATTATTATCCCTATCCCCCATCCAGTATAATCTTAAAAAGAAAAATAATGTTATTTTCTGGGTTAAAAAAAAAAAAGCAGGATTTTCTCTGTGCCTCCTTTAAAGTTTCCACAGTGTTCATCATTCAGCAAGTCTACTCACTTCCGTTGGGTGTGGTCCATGCCACTGTATGGTATTCCTTCCAATTTTGCATTTTTCTGCCCACAGATATTTCCATAGCTGTCGTATCCTGACACTAGTCTCGCTGCTGCACCTGTTGCTACTGAAAAGCCACATATAAATCCCTAGGAAAGAAACAGAAAAAAAACACACACAAATAAACCATTTCAATACCAACAGTCACTACTTGATACGATAATGAGTTTCTTTTGTCTGATGAAGGGAACAAAGCGCTATCTTTCCTCATTGCAAACACTATTCCACTGTTTTCCTTGGATTGCATATGAGCAGCACAAAGAAGTCCACAGGGAAATACTATTTACTACCATAACAAAACAAATCCCAAGCTTTCACATCATTAGCTCATCTTTGCATTTATAATAATAATGACAGCCTCTCTATGTTGAACACCTGCTCAATGCCAGGCTCTGTCCTAGGTATTTATCACACATTATCTCTAATCCCCATGATGAAGAAACTGAGGCCAAGAGAAGTTAAATGAGTTACCTAAGCCCATAGAATCCAATAAAGATGAGAGCACAGAATCAAACCCAGCTTTGTTCATTCTTTTGTTTTATTTGGGTGTAAAGGGATTCTATTAAATGAATAATAGCAAAGGATAAATTGTTAAAAATCCAAAAAAATAGGTATGTGGGTTTTGAATCATTCTCACTTCAGTGCACACAAGACTTTTTTTGTTTCCTTTGTGCACTAAAGCTGTATACAAGCCAAAGAACTCCATCACCAAGCACTGCCAAGCTCTTCATATTCGAGACTGAATGACAGTAAGTGAGGCACTGGCTTTGTGTACTGCAAGGGTCACTTCATCTTATGGGAATACGCTTTATCCCAGTACCAAGGGCAAAGGGGAGAAACTTCAGAACCACATCATGCTTGCTAAGTCAGGCATGCGCTGACCAAAATAAAGCAGTAAAAGCCTACACTCAACAGCAGATTACTGGGCATAGGAAGCAGAAGTGAGGGGAATCACTGCTGATGAACTGGTTATACTGTGGGGAAAGACTGGGGTTAAGAAATTTTGTGCAACCTGGTCATTAAAAGGGTAAGTTTTTGTTATCTTCAGTAGAGTGGCTAGGAAGGCAGAGATCATCACTGCCAGCTATTAGGAGCAGTACTTTATCTAAGTAGTGCTGCTAGATCTCAGGCCACAGTGGTAAACACTATGCGCACATACACACTCCTCAAACTGTATTTCCCCCTGTAAGTATACTTACCTAAAAAACTAAACAAAACCCTTCTACTTTCATTGTGCAGGTAAGGGAAGTGAGAGAGAAGAGTCATGAGTGTAGCTCTTGTCAAAAGAAACTTCTTACAACTACACTTTGTGAGAAAGTAGACTCCCTGATTTGCTATTCTCTGGTTCTCAGATCCTGGCCAAGGATCTGTCTCAAGTTAGTTCCCTTAAAATGGAGACAAAGAGTAAGTAGTTCATCGGGCTGTGGTAAAGATAAATGACACAACCTTATGTGGTAAGAAATCTGCCAGACATATAGGAAGAGCTCAATGAATATTAGCTATTAATGTTATTAGAAATGAGTAAATGCTATATGGGAAAGATTATGGGCTTTGGGGCTAGATAGATAAACCTGTGTTATTGATGAAATACTGATGACTTCATTTCCTACTTGTGTAATATTGGACAAACTTGCTTAATGCTCTGTGCCTTGGTTTACCCACTTATAAGTTAGGGCTAAAACTACTTACCACAAGGACTATTAAGAGAATCACATGAGATTGTATATGTAAAGTGTATGTCTCAATACATGTTAATACCCTTCTGTCTCAAAGCAGCAACTAATGGCTAGCACCAGTTTAGGCATAGCTGGTCAGTACTTATACTCCCCTGTTGCCTGCCTCCCTCTCTCTTGACTCCTCCAAGGACACCAAGGGCAGTCAGTCCCAGCGGTGTTAATCAAGTCCTTGTGTTAAAGTCCTGGTCCCTGTCCCATGATGCTACTGGGAGGTGGTAGAACCTTTAAGAGGTGGGCTTAGTAGGAGGGCTTGAGGCTACTGAAGAAGTGCCCTGTGTGACCCCAGACCTTTCCTTTCCTTCCTGTTACTCTGCCACATGTTCCCACCATGAGGTGCCAGTATAGTTCCAGAAGCACACAGCCAGCCAATCAAGGAATGAAACCTCCAAAACTATGAGTCAAAACAAATCTTTTTCTTTATCTGTTGATTATCTCAGATATTCGTTATAATTCCAGAATACTAACACACTTTCCAATGTATTTCTTTAGTAAGAAGCATCAGAGTAATAGAAAAAGAATGGACTTAGGATTTAGAAACAATGAATTCAAATTCTTTCCACCATTTCCTTACTACCTGTGATTTTGATCCAATTTCCTACTTAGACTCTGCTCTCTCTACATCTCCAACACTGAGCAATACCATTTACCCTGCAGCCTAATGATGAGCACTAAATGAAGTAACATATACCCAATCCCTAGCTGAATTCTACTGCATGGCAGGTGATCAATAAATGGCAGCTGTTCATGGTAAATTTGAATGGGGAAATCAGATTAAGGGGGTTACGAATGGTAACTGGAGACTAACAAAAGTCCCTTGGCTTCTCTATTTTAGAGCAAAAATTTCTAAAAATTTTCTCTAGGGAGAAAAGGTGAAAAACAATATCAGTAATTTTATTGCTACACAAACTACTCAGTCCACAATTAATATTCTTTGATTACTACTCTTGAATAGCAAAGATATTACATAAGTAAACTTCTTTTACTTCTTATAGGAATTGTTTTTTATGTTTGATAAGTATGTTGTTAGATATTCTTTAAACAGTTTCTGGTTTCCCTTTCTGACTATTTTTAACAGTACTGTTGGACATGTGGATATTTTTCTTTATCATAAGCTACCTCACATCCCTCCAGGATGTAGGCAGGGCATAAATTATAAATGTTACATATATATGCTAAAATGGGACACTGACATATTTTCGTATAGGTCATTTAAACTTCTTAGTAGCTTCCAGAAACATTAGAATAGAGAGGGTGAGAAGTTGAAGGTGGAGAAGAAAGGGAAATAGAAAGCTAATAAGATGGTAAGAAACCATGACTATTATCCTAGGGACTTCCTCTACAGCACAAGCAATGACAATGGGGAACTAGGCCACATACAATTAAAATTACAATCTCCTTAAAAAGAAAAATGCTAAAACCCAAATGCAGGAAGCAATATCGTTTCAGAAGAGAAAAAATACAGTACATGAAATTAAAACATGGTGAGAGAAACTTTATAAAATACACTCAATAATTTAATGGCTCCACAGAGAGGGGAGGGAAAAGGCTTCCAACAGAGTGAAATCACATTAATGAAGCAAATGATGAGGAGGGTAAGGAAAGCTTTTATAAGCATGGAATAGAAAGCAATCACTAGAGAGAAAGTAAGCCTATTAGTAAGGAAGAGAACCATGGCTAAAATCTTAAAATGACTGAGCTGCTGAAGTGCTTTCAGGACTATTATTTTAAGGGAGAGAGGAAGAGCAGAAAAATCCACTCACAGGAGGCAACTGGAATCAGATAAAGACATACAAGGGCGATGGGGTGATGGGCAAGACCTGGCAACTAGTAAGTACTTACTGCCCAAGTGGAAGAAAGACAATTTGCTAATTAACAAACTGTGCTCATTTTCCCTTCACATCACAAGGTCTAGTTCTACTTAAGTAAGAGTTTTTGCTTAGTTTCTTTCAGTACTAGAGAAAGGGGGTGGGGAGGAAGAGTTAAGGAAAAAGGAAGGGAGGAAGGGGAAAGGAAGAAAAAATAGGATACACTTTAATTTCACAAGCATGTTTGAATTTCACGCTTGGAGCTTCTTTTTTAGTATTGAGATTGAGTTCAGGGGCATTCTACCAGTGAGCTAAACCCCAAGCCCTTTTTACTTTTTGTTTTGTTTTGAGACAGGGCCTCACTAAATTGTCCTGGGTGGACTCAAACTTGTGATCCTCCTGCCTCAGCGTGTGGAGTCACTGGGATTTCAGGCAAGTACCAGTGTGCCCAACTCACACCTAGAGCTTCTACTAGACAACTGAGAAAGGTGGATGGCCTCAGTTTTGGGGGGTAGGGAGACAATAAAAATAATGTATGGAGGGTAGAGGTAGTATGTGAATATAACAAAATGTTTCAAAATAATGAGGGGAAATGAGTTATGATTATAGCTGTCTCCCAGGAGTTAAGGAAAACATTTCTTGACTATCTCTCTGTCAAAAACCACCTCATTTATGTCCCATATCTCAATCAATGCTTGGGGTCAATCTCTTAATAACTTTAAACTTAGGGTAGCACTTGTTTTCTGTTTCTCCTCTTCTGAGAATCCTGAGACAAGAAAGGCTATTAGGACCCAGGAGATAGACAAAAGCTGAAGGCCTGGTGCAGAACTAATATCTCTGTAAACACACTAAAAAAATAAACTTAAAACTTTAGCCAGGGTGCCAAATTTCTGAACTCCTTTAAAGTATAATATAATTTATTACTCTAAGAAAGAGAAAAGAGGCAAATAAATAAACAAATAAAAATAAATCTAGGAAATGTCCACTCAATGAGCATTTATTGAGCACAAACAAATGTAACTCTCACCCTAAAGGTCCTAAAAGCAGATGGGCACAGTGGTGCATGCTTGTGATTCCAACAACTCAGGAGACTGAGTCAGGAGGATTGCAAGTTCAAAGCCAGCCTCAGCAACTCAGTGAGGCCCTAAGCAACTTAGACCCCCGACTCAAAAAAATAAAAAATAAAAAAGGGCTGGGGTTGTGACTCATTGGTTAAGTGCCCCTGGGTTCAATCCTTAGCCCCACCCCCACCCCACCCCTCAAAAAAAGTCCTAAAAGCAATGAAATGTTCTCAATCAAAAAATAATAATAATAATGGGGGCTGGGGATATAGTTCAGTTGGTAGAGTGCTTGCCTCACATGCACTAGGCCCTGAATTCAATTCTCAGCAACACACACACACACACAAAAATAAAAATTAAAAAAAAGAAAGAAAATAATGGGGCATGTAGAAGCAAAATCAGAGGCTCAGTTTCACAGACAGCTAGAACAATGAATAAAACACAGACAAGGAATACTGGTATCTGATCCTGGCTTTGCCACTACTAC